ATATCTGTACATAATTTTCAGCTGGTAGTTGGAGGACTATCATTATCAAGTATCCCCGTCTGTCTGCCGGTATAGAACAGCCCATTCAACCTGAGTGGGTCCAAATCAGCCCACCTCTTAAAAGACCTAAATTGTGTCAATAACGGCACAAAGAATCTAAAAACTGCAATGTATGTTATCTACAGAACTGGTAAAAAGACAAAAGGGCCTGGGCCAAGCTCTACCCTCTTTGGACGACCAACAGGAGGCGTCCCTGCCAGAGGGACTGTACCCTGAGATGAATCCGGCCCTCCAACAGCAACTGATGCTGCTGCAACTGCAACAACAGCAGCAAGCTCTGATGGCCTTGAGAAACGGAGCCCGGGACAGGGGGTAAGGGCGAACAGGCAAAATAGTTAGACAATAAGTTGTTCGAAAAGTATATTTTCAAAGTTTTGGAAGGACATTGTTCGCGGAACTGACTAGAACAACTACGCTTATCCGATGTCTTCCTTTCCTGAGGGACCAAATGGGAATTTTCATAATGTTAGGGACGAAAGACACCTAGATCTATACACATATATTTTCTTTTAATTAATTTTTTTGAGGGGGGGGGGTGACATTAATAGCTTTTACCTGACATTAGGCCACGTCTAATCTAATCAGGGTTATTTGGTGATGTTAATAAAGGAACCACTAGAACAAAAACACTTCTAAGATTCCACAAACGGATGAAACAAAACAAAGCATGAAATCAACAAAGAGTGAAAAGTTAAACAAAATCAAACCTCAGAAAAAGCTGTCGATTGAAAGAACAAATATAATAAAAAGGTATAGCGTTCCTCATTTGGACTTATTCGTATTCTTATCCAGGATGCAACCAAGAAAAATCTGCGGGATGGCTCTAAATGAAAAAAAAAAGCTTCTAAGATTCATTAAGTAGATTAAACCAAAAATGAAATCAGCAAAAAATTTCTTCAATTGAAGTGAAGTAACTCGTGAATGACCAAAAACAAATAAACAACCCCCCCCAAAAAAACAACAACAAACAAACAACAACAACAAAAACAAACAAACAACCCAAACAAAAAAACAAAAAAACAACAACAACAACAACCCATCAACAACAAACAAACGAACAAAAAAAACCTCACGTCCATAATTTTGACTCCTCCGTCTCTTCCAGTATGCCACCAATGGAAGATCTGCGAGCAGCCTCAATGGACCCACGACTCGCTATGATGATGAATGGCCCACCCATGCAGACGCCTATGCCGCCATCTATGATGGCCCCGGATATGCTCCGCGGAGCAATGCCCACCGACATGCGCAGAATGCCCGGAAATGATGCCCCAGGTGCTCCCTTCGTCTCTTGTTGTTGTGAACTTAATTGCCCCATGGAAGTTTGAACTTCAAATACGCATTTTATTTTTGTTCCAAAAAGAAAACTTTTGTACAATTTAGTGTCTTTTTAATGTAACCTAGTTCCGAAATGAGATACTATATTTATACTATACGATGACAAACACCATGACAGCAGGAGCAACAGCAGCAGGAACAGTGTCAGCAACAGCAGGAAAATCAAGAAGAAGAAGAAGAAGAAGAAGAAGAAG